CCCCACTCAACAAACATGTTTCTAGGGATCAACATTCTCTCGTACACTGTTGCTCCAATTATTCAGAATTCTATCTCTCTCAGCTTTTTTCCCTCAGATACTTTAGTGGGTAATACGTTTTACTGCTAATCAAGAAGTCAGGGGTTCAAATCATCAACTCTCTAAGAAAAATGGGCAGTCTCCTCCTATAAAGACTTACAGACTCACAAACCTGACAGAGAGTCAGAATGAGTTGGAATCAACTCTGTGGAAGTGGATTTGGCTGGGGTTCTCAGATAAAATACAACTAATTGGTCTCCACTTTACCTGCATTATGCTGCCTATTTTTTCAGATTTAAAAATACCTAGATAAAGATGATTAAAAATGCTTTAAGTTCTGGGCCTTAAAGTAAGCCCAAGGTCATACACTTAGTATAAGGCAGGGCAGAGATTCAAACCACATCACGAGAAAACCATAAAAGAAGTGATATCTTCAAGAACTCTTTTCCAGTATCCCCCACCTCCCTGTCTGAAATGACCTTCATTTGTGTTCTCAGCACACACTAAACACTATGCCTGTAACTTCTTGTCTTGAAATCTATCTCTTTCACTAGACTGAAACTTTCTGAGATTAAGAGTCATAACTCATTTACACATGCATCATTACAATGCATCTAGGGAAGTATACACATTAATTTATTTAAAAGGGCTGTCTAAAACAAAGTTCACCAAACCAAGGTCTTAAGCAGTCTTACAGTCCTAAGAAGATAACAACTTCTTTAGCCATCAGCATCTCATCTTAAAAATAGGATGAAATGGTATGTGCACAGCCTTTACAAATTTCAAAGCCTTCTAATTATAGATGGTCCCTAGTTTATTATGGTCAATCAAATAATAATTAGAACTATTTTATAATTACAAATAAGAATTAACTTCTTCAGTTTCTTCTGTATCATTCTACAGACAGAACATAGTAAAAATAAAAGAATTCAAAAAAAGCCTTTTCTCTTCTAAAGATGATGACTGTCATCCACACCAAAATCAAATACTCTTCTAGTGAGTGTTAAAGAAGCTGATGATAAAGAACAGATCAATATTAGATGGTGAGATTTTCTTTTAATGGTTTTTAAAAAATAAGCAGGAAAGAAATTATCTAATGTTATTTGTTAGTTTTGCACTTCTAAGAACTAAATAGCTTCCTTTTGTAGAACTTCCCTTGTTTTGCCCTAACACAAAGCCAAAATTAATGAATTGGCTGAATGTTTTAAGAGAAAATAATTATTCTATTGTTAAGGATACTGATATTAATAATTATTTTCCATTTTTGTAACATAGTGAAATCATCTCACAGTTGGGCTAATAATGTCTATCCCTTCTATTATTTTTTATTTTCTTTTTAAAAAGGTAACAAAAAAGGTTGTTGTTGTTATGTGCTATCGAGTCGTTTCCGACTCATATATAGAAAATATTTACAGTGAAATAAAAGCATCTCTCATGTCCCTTTTCTGAATGGTATTTACCATAATATGTTGTTGTTGTTGTATTGTATTCCAGAGAGTGGGAACCGACTCATACCTGACCCTCTCGTGAGTTTTCATAGGCAGTTAATTGCACCGCAGGAGATTGCCTATCTTTCTCCCATGGAACAGCTGGTGGCCCCTCAACGTGCCTTTGGGACTGCAGTGCAACTTCTTGCCACTAGGCCACCAGAGCCCCTTTACCATAATATGTTGTTGTTATATGCCGTGGAGTCGTCTGCAACTCATAGCAACCCTATGTACAACAGCCCTAAACCCTGCTCTATCCTGTGTCACTCTCATTGTCTCTGACACACCCATCCCAATTACCCGAGTCACTCAATCGATCCACCTCATAGAGGATCTTCCTCTCTTGCGCTGTCCCTCTACCCTCTCAAGCATGATGTCTCTCTCTAAGGATTGGTCCCTCCTTGCAATGTGTCCAAAATATGTCAGAGGAAGCTTCAGAATCCTTGCCTCCAAGGAGCAGCCTGATTTAACCCTCTCTAGGATGAACCTGTTCCTTTTCTTAGCAGTTCATGGTATATTCAATACACTTCTCCAACACCACAGCTCAAAGGCATCAATTCTCCTTCTGTCAGCCCTAGTCATTGTCCAGCTCTCTGACACATAGCAAGTGATTTCAAAGACCATGGCCTGTATCAGGCGCACCTTAGTCTCCAGAGTGATGCCATTGCTCTTCAGTATTTTGGTGAGGTCCCTAACAGCAGACTTTCCCATCACAATATGTCTTTTAATTTCCTGGCTGATGGTGCCAAGAGTGTTGATTGTGGGGCCAATAAGTCAACCTGAAATCGGCCTAAGTCTGAAACTTACATGTTTTAGAATATCAGCTTTAAAGAAAATGTTTTTAACCACTCATTCACTTATACAGACTGACTTAAAAGCACGCCAGTATGTCACACCAAGACAACCATAATCTCAAAGTTTCACAACAGTATTCAGACTTTTAAATTAAATACAGAAGTGTGCTCTCAAACACTAGAAGTTGATTTTCATCTATCAACAAAGTAAATATCAAAACCACAAACTTACTAAATAATCTAAAACCATCTAGGCAAATAAAATGAGGATACAAGAATTTCCACTTAGGAAAACAAACAAGCAAACAAAAACTCCCAAATCAAATCAGTCATCATAACGGTAATCATCTTGTTCAGGTATTTTTTACCTAAGGATGCAGCATCACCTTGCACTGCCAACCCAAGGGCACACGGTTCTAATCTGCCAGGTGCTCCATAGGAGAGAGATGGCCAATGTTTCCTTTTGTGATTTACTGCCTCTAAAAGCCTGCTTGAGTGTCAGAGCTCTGAGACTTTATCACTCCACAGTACATAATGACAACCACCAAGTGACCAAGTAGAGTGGAATCTCACACTAAACAAGAAGGAAAAAAAGGTGAAGCAAGTCAGAAACTTTCATAGAGGGTCTTCCCCTCCTGCGCTGTCCCAGGATGATGTCCCTCTCTAAAGACCTGTCTCTCCTTACAACATGTCCAAAGTATGTCAGACGAAGCCCCAGAATCCTTGCCTCCAAGGAGCAGCCTGGTTTAACCCTCTCTACAATGAATCTGTTTGTTTTCTTGGCAGTCCATGGTACATTCAATACTCTTCTCCAGCACCACAGCTCAAAGGCGTCAATTCTCCTTCTACCCTCCCTAGTCATTGTCCAACTCTCTGATGCATAACAAGTGATTGCAAAAACCATGGCCTGTATCAGGCGCACCTTAGTCTCCAGAGAGACACCGCTGCTCTTGAGTACTTTTTTTAATTTCCTGGCTACTGGTGCCAAGAGTGTTGACCGTGGAGCCAAGCAAACTGAAGCTATGAACAATCTCAATCTCTTCACCATCCATCCTGATGCTACCGATTGGTCCAGTGGTGAGAATTTTTGTCTTCTGGACATTGAGCCTCAGTCCATATTGAAGGCTGCACTCCTTGACCCTCTGCAGTTTCAGCAAGCAGAGTTGTGTCATCTGCATAACGCAGATTGTTGATAGATACTCCACCAATCCTAAAGCCACGCTTCTCCTCATAGAGCCCAGCCTCTCGGATAATCTGCTCTGCATACAGGTTGAAAAGGTATGGAGATAGGACACATCCCTGGCGTACACCCTTCCCAATTTTGAACCATTCAGTGTTGCCCTGCTCTGTTCTGACGACTGCCTCTTGGTCCAAGTATAGGTTTCGCGTTAGCATGATTAAATGTTCTGGGATTCCCATTCTTCTCAGAGTCAGCCACAGTTTGTTATGATCCACGCAGTCAAATGCCTTTGCATAATCAATGAAACACAGATAGACATTCTTCTGGTATTTTCTGCTTTCAGCTAAGATCCATCTAACATCAGCTACAATATCCCTAGTACCACGACCCCGAAGGTAGAGTGACTTTATATCAAAAAGAAAATGAAGATAAAATAACCAACTGAGAGCTTTTATAACGATTGTCCAAAACAAAGGCAAAAAAGCAAGCAAATGTTTGAAAGACAAATGCCTGAAGCCAGAAAGGGGCCCAGAGTGGTGTTGTGGGGTGGAACTGTCTGGGAGCAAGGGAGTGCTTGTAAGGCAGGGATAAGGTGAAGTTTTCGGTAAATTAAAAAGTATGCTGCACCTCCTCCCAAAAAGGTATGCAGCAATCAGGCTCTGTTACAAACTGCAGAATTAAGGAAGATAAAGTAATCTGATGCTCTTTGGAGCCACATTCCCAATCATCACCCTGGGCCAATGCCCTTGGACTTGCCAACTCCTGTCAGGTTCTCTAGGAAACATGAACCCCATAGTGCACCCTGGATATCTGAGAAATGTGGGAGAAGGACCAACTTCTTGCCCACTCTCCACCTCACAGATGAATCTCCAACATATGAGCTTAGAAGCCAGCAGCAGTCTGGCTACCCACGCTGGCCTGAGCACATGGGTGAGGTCTGCAGGCACTGAAAGGCCAAGGGCACCTCAGTCCTGAGCCGCCAGCAAATCCTCCTGTCAACTGGCCCAGCTACATTTAAACAAAGTTAATGGAAAAGGAACAAGCATGGTGCCGCCCCTCGAAGTGAAGATGAAAGCTTTCTTCATCCTCACCAACTTCGTCTCTTCTTCCTTAATTAAGCATCAAAGATAGTATCTTCCTTCTTTGTGTTAATGTGACCTCAAACCATACAACAGGAGCACTGAGGCTCGGGATCAAAGTTCACTAGGGATACCATTAATCCTCGTTGTTAATTCTCAGAACAACTAGCACAGTCATTAGCTGCATTCTGGCTTTGGAACGCAATATAAACAAGAGGCAAAAAAACGTCTGTGAACGACCTTTCAGATCAGACCTTCACACCAAAAGATCAGGACACAACAGTACTCAGGCAACTGGAGACATATTTGGAACGAGTGGCTTTGTCCAGCGCAGTCCCAGGTCATCACCAAGCCCCCTCTCGCACCCGGGTACTTGCACTCTGTTCACTGTTATTTACACACACGCACACATGCATCCTACCTCGCCACCGTGCCCGTCGAAGATTCCGAAGATGGATGGGTGCGTCTTGTTGGCCAGGTCCGTAAGAACTTCGAAACGGTCCTCCATGTGGTCTCTCCGGCCCTGGATGGAGTACACAGCCACGTTGTGGCTCTTGAACTCCCAGGTCTTTGAAAACTCGGCCTCGAGCACGTCAAGCCCTCCAAGCCGATCATTCTGCATGATCTCCGCCACCTTGCCCTTCACTATCTTCACAGCGTCCCGGCTGGACTTGACGATGGTCTTCACCTCGTCAGTGTGGAAGAAGTAACTCCACAGCGCCAGGCTGATGCACAGCAGGAAGAGTGTCTCGGGTCTCAGCAAGAAGTAGCGCATGATGCGACCCAGCAGAGACAGCAAAGTCATTGTATCCTCTATCATTTATTAGCGCTATAGCCCCAAGCAGCAGCAGCAGCAGCAGCAGCGACGCACGCCCCGAAGGCTCGCCTGGTCCGGAACACTGCGGGGACGGCCCGCGGGGAAAGAGGCGGAGCGCAGTGGAGGCGGGGGGGGTGAGGCGCGCAGAGCCGAGCTGGAGGCAGCGCGCAGGCTGCTCAGAGCAGGCACAGCGAGCCGAGCCGCAGTAGCTTCTCTTTTGTCTCCTCGCCTCGGCTGCTTCGAGGCCCGAGCCCTGAGCACCGGCGCCGGTGCCGCCTCTCCTCTCTGCGCCCCTTTGTGAGGCGGCGGAGGCCGAGACCACCGCGTCACCAACAGCGGACTCTGCGGGTACCCGGGCTTGGCGAGAGGTATCAAGTTAAAGTTGCGAGTGTGCTGGTCCGCTGCGGTGGGCAGGAGAGTTCGAGGTGTCGGCTCCCATACGGTTCCTCCGGGTGCCCCTTGCAGCTCCGTGGAGCAAGAAGCAGGTGAGGTAGCGAGGGACGCGGGAGCTGACGGGCGAGGGATGCACGTCCTCTCTGCCGCCACTGCAGGGGAGCGTGGAGCCTGCCAAGCGTCCTTGACACACCCCGAGGACCCCAGAGAATAAAAGTTTTGCGGAAGCCTGAGCAGAGGCGGGGGTACGCTTCGACAGGAGACGACGCAAGATCGGCGCTGAGCCGCAGGCGGGCGGGTCGGCTCTGCCTCCCTCTCCGCGGCACCTCCCGGCTCGGCTCGGCTTGACTCGGCTCTGCTCGGCTTCGCTCGCGCACACTCTCCGGGCTCCCAAGCTCGCTCTCGCCCCGCCCCGCTTGCGCTCCACCCCGCCCCGCGCGTCCTCTGCCCCGCCCCGCACACGCTCTACCCCACCCTGCGCACTCAGCCCCGCCCCGCCTCGCTGCGCTTTGAGGTCTTGAGCCTATACTCTGGTCTCCTAGGTGCTTCGACCAAGCTGTCAAATCTGAGGAAGCTCTCTGGGAAGCGATGTGAAACGTGCGCGCTGCAGCCCTGGGCGGTCCGGGCACAGTAAGGGGAAGGCAAGAGGTGCGTCTGCTGCTAAATTCACGCAGAAAGTTGCTTCTGCTTTCTGTGCGGATTCTCAAGGCATTTGCAAACAGATCGAGGCAATATTAGCGTTGCTTTCCTGGGAGCTGCCGAAGCCCGCTAGGATGTAGAGGGACGCACGTGAGCGTCTCCCCCTTCTTCAGGAAGTACGATAGTGCAGTCCCCGCCTTGCCTGCGTAAGGCGAGCGAGTAGGGACGCACTTCTCCCAGCTTGCAAAGCAACGCAGTCAGGATCTGGCCAAGCTGTTTGCTACTACGTCTTGGTGCTCTGCGACAGAGGTCTGTATGAATTCCGGAGAACACATCTGAAGCCTAACAGCCTTTTCGCAAAGGACTCTTGATAACATAAGGAGGGGCAAGGAAGGGGCTGGCCCTTTTCTCCAGCCTCCGGTGAACAAGGCTATTTACTCCACAGGAGAGACGGAATCTTTGAAGGAGGTGCCCCCCCAAAGGCACTCCTGACCCTGGAGTACCCTCCCTATCTCGAGAAGAAGGTTCTGAAATCGACCTTATTGCACACAGCAGCAGCCTCTGGCCAGGAAGAAGAGTGCTGCCCTACAGTGTTCAGTCCCCTGGGTTGGGGTGACTGTCCATCAACACTTCTAAAAAGCGTAAATTTTTTTTTTAAGGCTTCAATTTTCTACACCTTTTCCACAGTTTCTGCAAAAGACATCGATTATAATCATAGTCAAAACGAGACAAAACTTTAGCACTTAAATGGCAGATGCCAAATATGATCTCAACTATGCAAACATACACAGAAAACATAGGAAAATACCAAAAACTGTTAACAATGAATTATTTTTGACAACTAGGATTATGATCTCCGGTCTTGGTTTGTACTTTTTGGTATTCCCACCTTATATATAAATAAACATAAATTCGTGCTTTTTATTCGATAGTCTTAAGACAGGAGTTTTCTGAACGAGATCTTGACCATAAAAGCCTTTAGGAAATATAAAGCAAAGATAATGCGTTGTTGTTACTATGAATATTAATGTATAGTACTTCTTACCATAAACTAGAAAATGGGTTGTAAATGCATTGTCACGTTCTCTGCCCAAGAATCTGTTTCACTGGGGCAAAGATAACTTGCAGATAAGCTAATCAAGATTCCAGAGTTACAAGTTACACTAGGACTTGAAAGAGAAATAAAATCCCAAACTCAGATGCTTATCCACCTTCCCCACAATATTACTATATTGATGACAGCAGAGCAGAGATCAGAGTCATGATTACTATTTCCCTCACATCTAAATAAAAAGAAAGACCATGTTTTCTCTGAAAGTTAAATAGCAGAAAGAGGGTTTGACTTGATTAATTAGTAACTTTAGATAGGCTGCCAAATCTGTGGAGATATGCTTTGACATTTACATTTACATAACTTATATAGTTCATTTGGGTGAAAATCAATAAAATGATTTTTCAAGCAGACTCAGTAAGCATAGGCATTTTCCTACTAAGAAATTCATGTAGTCTACATAGCAGTTTCAAAAAGATCTAAATAACCTTTTCATTATTGTTTGCCATTAATTTAATATTAGAAAAATAAGAAAGACTTGCCTCTAGTAACATGCTAATATTTATATATTCCTTAAAAATATACCTTATTTTATTTTCATAACAATCCTATATGAAGGCTACTTTAAAAAACAAACAAATGAGTGGATCCCGACTCATGATGCCATCATATGTTGGAGAACAGGCCTGCTTAAAGGTGTCTTTGAAGCTATGACCTGTCAGATGCAGATCACCAGAACTCTCTTCCAAGGTGTAGCTGGTTGGGTTTAAATCTGTCAATATTTTGGCCTCTCCAAAGTACTGAAGAGCAACACTATCAGTCTAAAGAATAAGGTGCATCTAATACAGGCCATCCAGGCCTGTTCTTTATAATAACTTGCTATGCATTAGAGAGCTAGACAATGACTAAGGATGATAAAAGAAGTATCAATACCTTTGAGTTGTGGTTCTGGAGAAGAGTATCAAACATACTATGGACTACAATGAGAACAAACAGGTTGATCCTTGAGAGAGTGAAACCAGCCTGCTTCTTGGAGGCAAGGATTTTGAAGCTCTGTGTCATATACTTTGGGCATGTTTCTAGGAGGGACCAGTCCTTGGAGAATGGCATCATGCTTGGAAGGGTAGAGGGACAATGCAGGAAAGGAAGACCCTGGATGGGATGGATTGACTCAATGACTGGGGTAATGGGGGTAGGCGTGTTGGAGACAATGAAATTGGCTCAAGCTAGAGCAGGGTTCAGAGATGTTGTACACAGGGTCTCTATGAATCACAAGTGACTCAAGAGCACGTAACAACAACTACTAGTACTTCATCATTTGTGCCACCTAGGAATCCTATAAGGAAAATTTTATGTGTTGTCAAATCAGAACGAATTCATAGCTGACCCCTTCACTGTGTTTTCCAAGGCTGTGAATTGCAAGGGACGAAATTGCCCATCTTTTTCACTCAATGAGGAAGATAGAGAAGCTATTATAAATTTGAGAAATGTGAGGCACAAAGTTATTAAATACTTTTTGATAAAGACAAAACAACAAACGTGCTGAAGAAGAGTTAGTTACGCTATCCTCCGTCAGATGAATCAGTTTCGACTCATCGTGTCCCTTCATCTGGACACTGCCCATCTTGCTCTTTTGGAATGGCTGGTGGATTCAAGCTGTCAACCCAGCACATGTTATTTTAGCAGCTCAATGTGTAAAGCACCATGCCACACAATTTGTAAAAGAAGAGGTTAAAAATTCAAACTCAAGTCTTCAGGCTAGAAAATTAGAGTTCAGTAGTGTAACTTTTTTTATTGTAGAATAATTCTGAAAGAATTCTGCTAACTTTTATACTTCCCCAGTAATATTTCAAAGTAGCCCTAGTAGTGCTATAATTAAGCACTCTGCTGATAAGCAAAAGCTTACTGGTTTGAAACACTAAGATGTTCTGTAGAAGAAAGACCTGATTATCTGCTCCCTTAGAAATCTCATCCTGGGAAACCCTGTGGGGTAGTACTGTTCCATCATGACTAACAACAGTCATTGGAACATTTCAAGCGATCTCTGTTGGAGAAATCATAGGTGAATACATAAATTCTTATTCCAAAATTATGATTTTAGCATTTGGAATAAATAATACTAATTCTAGTAGAACAAAAGATGTGTAGGTAAACTGTCCATCTGTACAATTGAAATCATTTTTTAAAATATCTGCTTCTAATATGGAAGGCAAGGACGATCAGAAAGTATGTGTATGATTAATAATTAACAGCCTGGTATATGAAAAGTCTTACAAAGTGAATTGGGGAGGGAGAGAGGAAAGTATGCATGAATGTATGAATGAAACCAATCTGTTTGTGAACTTTCATTGGAAACAACCTAAGTGCCCATCAACAAACGAATAGCTAGAGAAGCTGTGGTATATTCGCACAATGGAATACTATGCTTCATTAAAAAACAAGGAACTCATGCAATATTATTCAAAATGGTTGACTCTGGAGAACATTATGCTGAGTGAAATATCCCAGTCACAAAAGGACAAATATTACATGATGCCACTGTTGTAGAATGGGACTGTCCTTGGGGTTGGGGAGAGACTGAGTAAGATGGGTTCAATAATGTATACTGCACTGAAACAGAGGAGGGAGAAAACTGTTTAAAAGAGATATATAACTAGGTATTTCTGTCATCACAGGAGACTAGAGCGAGGGCTACATGGTGGAGGGGACCTGGGGGAGGGTTTGTAAAACAATGAAAGAATCTTTTCTTTTACTTTTCCATAATTTTTGGACTCATGTACTTATAACTTGTTAGTCAAATTTGTGTCTTCTAGGTTGCAACACCCCCATGATACATCTTCAAGGATATGAACATGTACGGCCAAGCACAATCAATAAGAGTGCATCTAAATTCCAAAATCAATCTCCATAATAGTCTATG